CAGATTAAAAGAGACACCCCCATTACAGTATGTTACCAAAAATCACCTGCAGAGCTTATGGTTGCCAATTTGCAGCATCTATTGATCATTTATGTTAACATTCAAAAGGAAATAAGCAGGCACAAGATAGAAATACTTCTTTTCCCCCCAGGAAAAGAGGTAAGAAAATAGGGGCTGTCCCTAGAGATAAAGGAAGTCAAAAGATCAGAAGATTTTCAGTTGTTCTAATCGCTATGTATTACTTCTTACAGGCTAAGAAGAGTCTATCTTTCAGGTCCCATTCAGTTCATATCCATGTATTTTTGTGGAATTGCTTTCTGGTCTCAGCCTTGTAAAAGGAAATTGTTTAATGTTGGATGATAAAGGTGATGCAGGTGATTCTAAAGGTGATGAAAGTGATACCATAAATCTTTATAGTAGGTCTAAAATACAGGCGGTTGGGCTCATTGTCTACCCTTCGTTAAATATTACTCACTTCCCTGGAACTTTGCCTGATTTTCTGTTGTTTTTTCTTTGCTAGGCATCATACTTCCTATCTGGCTTTTTCTGGATGCACGTGAACAGTGTGACCATCATGAAGAGAAGCTGATCTCAGAAGGAAAGAAAGAAAGAAAAGAAGAATAAAACCCACTTTTTATAGAAACACAAGTTCATTCCTTAAGGGAGCTTATCCTTAGCTTTTAGCACTCAGAATCAACACATTCACTTCCTGGTTTGAATGAAGGGGCAGTAGCTTTTTCTGCTTCACCATAAGGGGGGTGAGGCCCATCCCATTACAGACCACATTCCTTTATTTCTCCCAAAGGCAAATGCAATGATAAAAGGGGAAATCCGAGTCCCCAAACACCTTTCTGAGGACAGTATGGAAAGAGAAACATGTACAACTAATAAATGCATGTTGTATAAGGGAGATCCACACTTTCTGCTTGCCCCATTGCCATGTTGGGCCATCTACCACCTCCTAAGTACAAGAACAGATGATGTTGTCCTCCACCCACTCCAGCCCATTGTAAATGAACTTCTACCTGTGTTTTGAAGCTCCTCCTTGCTACAAAGTTTTTATGGACCTACAGTGGAATGTAGAAATGAAGGAACAACTTGCTCCTTTTGTTTTGATCCTTATAACTCCAGAGCTACAGTGACATCAGAAGGATCTGCATTAATGGTAATGGTCTCAGTATGGGAAGGGGGTGTGCAAAACTCTGGGAAAGCAAAAGAAAAGAACAAGGACTGATGAAGAGGGAACAATCTTTAAAGAAAAAGGCAGGCACTGGGAGACCTGCCCACACAGTGAAGCTTTCCTTTCCTACACAGAGAGGAAATTTGTGGTGGCTGTAATCTGGACTGAACACCAACCTAGTCCCATTGCCAAACCATTGCAATCCAGACTGAAATTTTTAAAGTCAGCTTCAAGAGCAGCATTAGAGACAAGCAGTTTAGGCTGCTGTGCAGAATTACCTAAGAATTGGAAGAAATCGAATGCCGAGATAATCAAGTTACTGCAATATACTGAACTGTT